AAATAAATAAATAAAATAAAAGTATTGTGTCCAACTACAACTAAAAAATAAATAAAAAATAAAGACAATAATAATCTGTACGAACACAGATTATGGTAATTATTAGACATTATAATATTTATTAGAGAATATACATTTTATATTCCTCACAAAACTGGTGTCACTCTTTCCTTGTGACATCACTCCCGGTGCTTCTTTTCCTTTGAGATGTCTTTTCAACTCCCATGCAAATGGACAAGCTCTGTATTTATACTGCTTTCTTGTAAGTGTATTATAGAAAATGGATAAGACTTACTGGGTCATTGATCACATAAATTATTCTACTACATTCCCATTGCCTCTGGCATCAGATGATTATTACTATACCTATCATCCCTCCTTGGGTAGGTCCACTAATTGGTCCAACAGTTACTTCTCACCGTTCCCCATTGTGAGCCCTGCCTTCTCAGCTGGAAGTCAGTGTCTCCTCCTCTCAAAAATAGGTTCCCTTCCCTCTGTAATATCATGCATTATGATTCCTTTCTTCTGCAGTAGTGTTCTCGCTCCCACTGACATGGACAAGGTCTGAATTTATACTTCCTTCTTCTATAAGTACATAATAGTAAATTGGTAAGCCTTACTGGTTTATTATTTAAATTATGTAAGGACATAGATAGAGGAATTGAACCATTAGTTTAGACACCCAAACCACTCGTTTGTTGCCCATTCAAGAGATATTTCAAGAGTGCTTGGCCTGGTGCTTAGATGATACACGGTGTAGTTAATGAAATGTTTTCTTGGCTTCATGGAATTTCCTGTGTAATGAGTGAAAAAGAAAATAATTTTTTTTTTTACTTAAATATTATTCTTACAAAATACAAAGTAAATGGAAAAGAAAAGTTTCTGTGATCATATGCAACACAGGATCTGGCTTACCCAGTGACTAGGGAAGAAATCTGTGAGGAAGGTCTCCTGGGTGGGTTTCTGAACATTGGCTCTGAATGAGGCACTGGATTCAATAGCAAAGATAATAAAGTGCTCTGCCGGTCCTTACCTTCTATTTGGGGCAGATATACTTATATACTGGTAATATATATGGTGGTGCTATGTGCTAAAATATAAAAGCGAGATAAGGCTCTAAGGTTGATGTAGTTAGGTGATGGTGAGATGGGCAATGTGGAGTTCCTGATGGGCCAGTGGAACTGGAGCTCAGGGATGCAGCAAGAGAGATAGTTTGGGACATTTTTGGAGTAGGGCATCAGATACTTGGTGATGATTTTGTTGGAAAACCAGTGGACTAAAATAACCAGATTTTTACTAAAAATGTTAACTTGATGCCAGTGAAGAAAAAAAATGGAGAAAATTGATGTTAGGAATTAGGTGGCTGCCAGAAAAACTTGTAGCGAAGATGCAGCGAAGAGTCTGTTGCCCTCATTCAATTCAGTTCTAGTGAGGGACACAAAGAACTCTTATGGGATATAAAGAGGTGAAGAAGGATTTGTGAAGAACTTAGGGGTTAGAATGAGTAGGGCATAGTGATAAGTTGCTTGTTGGTCAAGAATGGTTTCCCAAACTGATCAGGTACTTCACAGAAGAAGTGCAAATGGCCAACAAACATATGAAAAAATATTCAACATCTCCAGCAATTGGAAAAATGCAAATTAAAACCACACTGAGATTTCACCATGCTCCAGTATGATTACAGGTGTACACCACCACACTCATCCCTTTGTGTGGGTTTCTAATACTGCACTTACCCTATTTTATTTTATGGYTCAGTCTGTTTCCTTCAGGATAAATAAGTGTGAGCTGTTTGTGGACAGGGACTTTGCTCATTCATTTTTGTACCCTGGACACTTTGCAGAATCTTTGGCATGTGCACTTAGAAACACACTTATAATAAGACTGAGTTAATATGGTCTTAGGTGTACTTTCGTAGGGAAAATCAAGTTCATTGGTGTCCTTGCTTCAAAATTATAGTTTGGTTACTTGGTAGCATCTAGCTTAGACTATGTTAGGCAAAAGTTAGAAAAATAAAATGTCTATAAACTTAGATTATTACAAACAAAGTTTTTCTGTAGTCAGTTTTAAGCTATTTATTGTATACTTTTAAAATAGTCTTATTGGTCTTGCTTTATATGTATTACGAAATTTCTAAAAGTTGATTATTTCAGAATCAAATATTTCCCCATTAAAAAAATGTTGCATATAGCACCTCAGCATTTTTTAATCAGGAGACAAACCGCACAATAACTGAACAGGAAAAGTTTACCATATAAACAATGGGATAAAGCAGAAAAAATAGGAAAAGCTGACATAGGAGCATAGCACCCCAGGAAACCAGAAACCTAGGTGAGGGTGCCACTTGCATTTCCATACTTATTCTCAGGGCTAGAATCCAGACCTCACTGAAGATGGTGTGTCTTTCAGCATGGCAGAAGATTTCCTTCAAATGCTGTTCTGTTGGGACTCAGGCAGCTTAGGTTTCTAGGATTCTGGAGAGAATGTGTACTCTGGGAGGTGCTGCACTTCCGAGCTCAATGGGGCATGGTACCTGAGATTCCACCCTTGGAGGCCCAGAAAACAGCTGCCCAGGGATTAGTGCAACTTACTTCAGTTAAAAGAGAACCAAGAAGAAGAGCACATTCTTCCAATGTGCTTTCCCTAGCACCCACTACTGAGATGGTACTAGTTGGCACAGGCACGGCAATGGGAAAGTGGATTTGGAGCTGATAAAGAGCAGTTTGGCAAGTGGCACAGCTCACATCTTTGACTGCTAGGCTTCCATATATTCAACTTAAGTACCAGCTACAGCAAAAGTTATATATTCATATATACTTAGGTATATAATTTAATGAATATATACAATTATTTTAAATTTATAAGTGTATCATTTATATATATTTTGGCTGTCAGTGCCCAAGAAGACTAGTAGTATTAGAGGAAGATGAGAAGGGAGACAGAGACACCCCTATGAATTCCATAGTAGTTAATGTCATTCTCAGATAATGTCATTCTTATTGTTGACTATCTTAATTTCATTTTCCTTAACATAAAAACATTAAAAGCACTAGTCTTCTATCACTTAAGAATTGTTATGTCTTAGAGACAAAAAATAAGACAGGCTTTCCAACAATAAGTCATTCAGCCAGAGCTGGTAAAGAGGATGCAGAGTGTGGGTGTATCATACATATCTGCCAAATGTGGAATTTATTATGGCTGCAGTAAATAAGTCAACCAAAATAGATAAGTGCCAGGAATCTTCTTTCAATTGAGTGAGGAGAGGAAACAAGGAGAATGACCTTCAAAGGGAAGAACTCAAGTGCTGGGGGAAGGTTTGTGGTCGGGTGGTGGAGTGTGGAAGACTGTGTGACAAGTGAGTCCTCCCTGACTGTGGAACACTTGGGCTGCTTGCTCTCACACSGACAGGCATGGTGGGGTGGTGCAGGTGATGTAGTTATAGCCTGAGACTACTTCAGTGTTACAAGTACATTCTTAGGGTAAAATTAACATGGATTTTTTTTTTCTGTAAACTTAGTAACTACAGATAACTTGTGGAGGCTCTTGTAACAGTCTTGTAGGCTCTTCTGGAAGGATCTTTTCTCATTGTAGAAAGATGAAAGCAGGAGTAAAGTTAGTGTCATGTGACCCATATAGGATTCTTAGGAATATAAATGACAAAATAAGCATTTAATGAAACTGTACTACTACTTAGATTCCTGACTTAGAAGAAAAGAGAGATTTAAGGCCTGGTCTTGTGTCTCTTCCAACATATCAAAATATGTTGATCAAAATAATATCAAAATAATCAAGACCTTATTATTGATTATTATCTGTTTTTTTTTCTACCTGTTTAATGAGAAAATATCTCTCTCTCTCTCTCTCTCTCTCTCTCTCTCTCTCTCTCTCTGATTATTATCCATTGTATTTGTTTAATTTGTTAGCTGGTATTAAGAACTACCAATTTCTTAACTGGTATTAGTGGACAGTTAGAAGTACTGTAAAGGTTTTTGTTTTTCTAGCATCTATCCTGCCTGGTTAAGTATGAGAAGTTGGGGAAAAGAGTTAATGAAATCTGAGACTGGGGCAAATGTTCCTAAGCTCTTGGTTATGGAGCGATTTAAATTAGCAATTATGTAAGGTGGTTATTGACTTAGATACTAGATTTATATAATATTGTCCTTCAATCCTCCCTCAAATGATAGGTGACCCTCTTGTGCAGAAATCTGCCAGAAATCTCAAATATAGGTAGATAAATTTGGTTCATGTCTCCAGCTACTTTCTTTTTTTGGGGGGTGGTTCTAGGAAATAAACTCAGGAACACTTAAACTCTGAGCCAAATCCCCAGCCTTATTTTGTATTTTATTTAGAGACAGGGTTGCTTAGTGCCTCACTTTTTCTGAGGCTGGTTTTGAACTCACAATCCTCCTATCTCAGCCTCAGGAGCCACTGGGATTACAGGTGTGGGCCACTATGCCCAGCCTCCAGTTACTTTCTTAGTCATAATGTTGTTATTATTGTTTAGTAAAAATGAATTTATTTCTCCCTGTTTTGGAGGATGGGGAGTTCAAGATCAAAACACAGGCAGATTCTGTATCTGGTTAAGGCTCCCCTCCTGATTTGCAATCAGAATCTTCCAGCTGTGTTCTCACATGGCAGAAGGGGTTGGGGAACTCTCTGGGATCCCTTTACAAGAGTGCTGACTGCTTGCATGAGCTCTTCACCCTGTAGGATTCTGTTGCAGGCATTCCTATGACTTTCTGGTGGTGGACACGTAGGTGAGATGGGATTGTCTCATAGTTGCCTCAGTACTATATCTTGCCTCTCTTAAGCATTCCAACATCTGAGAGAATTTTAGGGTCTCCATTTTATAATGAGTTTCTATATGTTATAAAACACATTGAATAATTATAGATTAGTGTCTATCCTGTCTGGATTGTTGAAAGCAAGTGGCATTGGTGTGCATGGAAGCTTAGCAGTGTGCATGCCTCATTAAAAATGGATTTGGTTTTGTTTTTCAGGTTTTTCTAAAGAGTGACCGAGTGGCCAGAATGGTTCAGAGTGGAGGGTGTTCTGCTAATGACTTCAGAGAGGTGTTTAAGAAAAACATAGAAAAACGTGTGCGCAGTTTACCAGAAATAGACGGTTTGAGCAAAGAGACAGTGCTGAGCTCCTGGATAGCCAAATATGATGCCATCTACAGGGGAGAAGAGGACTCCTGCAAACAGCCAAACCGTATGACCCTCAGCACCGTGTCTGAACTTATTCTGAGCAAAGAACAACTCTACGAAATGTTCCAGCAGATTCTAGGTATTAAAAAGCTAGAACACCAGCTTCTTTATAATGCTTGTCAGGTACGTGCATTATGATATTTCCCATTCCCTCTTACTCAAGAGGATGAATGTTGAGTGTTTACAGCCTATGGAGATGTTCTGCACTTTATGTAGCCATTTTGCTTGAAAAGTAGAATGAAATTGAATTTTAATAAATCAAATAGTGGTATTTTAAAAACAGTATTTAATGGAGAAGAACATCAGTGTCTTTATCCAGTGAATAATTATTCCCTTTGCCCTATTTTATAACATTAGATTTGTGCCTATTGGGTATATGTGGCATACCCTGCATAGTAAAGTGAGAATCATCTGTTGCCTGAAGAACCTTGGCAGTTCATAATAAGTAGGTTTACCTCAGAGAAAAATATTTTTTATGAAGATACAATGCTTGACTTCTGATTTTTATGAAAGTAATTGAAATTTCATTTTTTTAAACACAGCCAGATACAAATGAATTGAGGATGATTGTTCAACTATGTAATTTAAAGAGATGACAGAGTTAATAATATATTTTCTCTTAAGTTGTTATTCTAGTCATGCATTTGAAAAATTGAATAAAACCTCATGTTCTGCATTTTTCATTTTTAGATCCTATGATTTGTCTAATAATGCATCCCTCCTCTATTTGAATTTTGTTTGCTTATTTTGGATATTTAAATCATTTACTTTGCCTTAATATGCAATTTAAATTGACAAAATTCTATCATTTTAAAATTCATTTGTTCATTAAGAGTTATACTTCTATAATGTACATGTTTATTTTTAGTCTTGTATAGATCTATTGGCATTCTGTCCATACCCCTTACTTTGCATTCCTAATTTGCGGATAATTTCAGATGACTAAATTAACAGAGTTAATTAGTTGTAAATCAGGGTAGCTCAACCCTGGGAACAATTTATGCACTCACCATATTGTTTTCACTATGTCATTAAGTCTGGTGGGGCTTGGTAATAGTTGAGCATGACTGTAAAGCTAACCTCCTCTATTTTAAAGGATAAATACAACTAGGACTTTGCATTTTTTAGCTCACTTGTATATTTTAATGTTGATAAAGGTAATATCAAAAAATTCAAATTCAGACATTCAGTAGATATTTATTGAGAATGTATTCAAGTTAAATACCTCACTAGGTATTAGGGAAAACAAGCTGAGCAAAATTTGTTCTTCCTATTCCAAAGTCTAATAGAGTACCCAGGCCTCTAAATGAATTACTATACATTAGAATTTATATTGGCTGTTATACGATTATAACATATATCCCTGTGTACCTTTGGGTATATGTCTAATAACTAAAAATGCTTTTAATTAATCCTTTAACTTCTTTAAAGATCCCTGCTGCAACCAAGGCCTGCCCTACCTAATATCTGTTTTCTGTGGTTTGCAACTAACAATACTTCAAATTCAAATCACCACTTGCAGTTGTGGGTTTGTTTATTTTTCCTTTCAGTTCCATTAGTATTTACTTCACTTATTGATACTGTGCTAGATACACACATTTGTATTAGGATTCTTTGAGCTTTTTGTAGAGTTGACTCCTTTATCAGGATATAATATTCCTCTTTATCCTTGACAATCTTTCCTCTAAAGTCTACTTTGTCTTTAACTAGTAGAACTAAATCATCATTCTTTTGATTTGGGTTTGCATGAAGTTACTTTTAAATTGAATTTCTATTTTTAAAGTGGGGTTCTTGTAGATAGCATAGGATAGTGTCTCCAGTGTTTTGTTTTAATTTTTGTCCACTCTGATGTTTTTTGAACTTTAATGGGTATGTTCAGACCATTTATATTTAAAGTAATTTTGTATGCAATTAGATTAAGTCCTCCAATCTTTATTGCCTCTTCCCTACAGTTGCTCTTTGTTCTCTGTTCTTTTTATCTGTCTTCTCTGATTTTAAGTGAATATTTTTTATGATTTCATTTTATATCTTCTTTTGGTGTCTCACTTGGGCTTGTTTGTTTTTTAATTCGGTTTACAATGCACATTTTTAAACAATCTAAGTCCACTTTCAAATAGCACTATCAGGCTTTATATGTAGCATAGCTCTCCTATACCCCCAAGTGTTAATTTCACTTATAGTAAGCTATAATCACCCAATACATCATGAATATTGGTGTTTAAGTAGTTGTCTTTTAGATCAATTAAGAATAAGGAAACAAAAGATTCTGTCTTTCTTCAGTCATTCCTTCTCTGATATTTTTTTCTTTATGTAGATACAATATTTTTAACCTATGTCATTTCCCTTATATATGCATTACTTTTTTTAAATATTTCTGTGAGGGCTGGACTACTGGGGATGTATTCCTTCAGTTTTTATTTATCAGAAAAAGTCCTTTTTCTCCTTCACATTTGAGGATAATTTCACTGGTTATAGAAATATTTGTTAGCTTTTCTTTCTTTTTCAACATGCTGAAAATCTTAGTACATTCTCTTCTTGTTTGCATGGATTCTGAGGAGTTGTCTAGGGGTAGTGTTCATCCTTGAACCTCTGTAGGAGAGGTGCTCCCCCACTCCACCCTGTGCTTTCCTTCAAGATTTTTACCTTCCTTAGCTTTCTGAAGTTTGAATGGTGTGGGGTTTTGTTGTTGGGTTTTGTTTTGTTTTAATTAGCTCTTAGTTAGACTTTTATGAGCTCCTATATCTATGTATTAGTATGTATAGTCAATTTTGGAAACTGCTACTATATCCAGTATTCCTTCTGTCCCACCTTCTCTTTTCTTCATAGTGTTCTAATTATGTTTGGATTACCACCTTTAGTATTCCCTACAGTCCCAAGTTCTGGGATGTGTGATTATGGTTCATTCATTCATTCCTTGCTTCCTTCTTTCTGTCATTCTAATTGTATCTCAGATTGGGAAGTTTCTTTTGACCTTTCTTCAAGTACACTGATTCTCTGATCAGCACATCAGATCTACTGATGACATCATCAAAGACATTATTCATTTGTTAGAATGTTGGGTTTTTTTTTTTTCCCCTAGCATTTCCTTTTGATTCTTCCTTGGAGGTTTAATTCCTACTTTATTATTCATTTGTTTTTGCTTGTTTCCAACTTTTCCCATTGAGGCTGTTAATATATTAATAAWAGTAATTTAATTTCTTACTTGGTAATTACACCATCTATGTCACACATGAATCTGTTTCAGCCGCTTGCTTTGTTGTAGCATTCTCAGTCTGTTTTCTTGAAGTTCTGGTACCACAATTTACTGTGGATTCCTGTGGGTTTTGGTTTTTCCAGTAGCTGAGACAGGCTACAGTAGTTTAGTTTTCTCAGTGTTTCCTCTGGCAAAATCTTTCCCTCTTTGTTAGGGAGAAGGATCTGAAATATTTAAAAAAGGCTTTTCTTTTCCTCTTCCTGCCATGATCATGTGGATCTGTTTCTTGGATTGTCACTATGAGAGCTTGGTTGGCTAATGGGAAGGAAAGTTTACTTGAATGCATGTCCCCTATGACTGGGACCTTGGAGTTTCTCATTTTCTGTACTCAGCTTATAGGAATTTGTCAAGATCATTAGGTAAGCAGGGCTTCCTAATTTAGACATGGTGTCCCCCAAAGCTCAGGGCTTCCTGCCACGTATGGCATGCAGCAACTTCTGTGTCTTTTTGGATTTGCCTTTGTTACTAGATTTGGGATTAATGGTTTGCCCTGCATCATCAGTTCTCTGATAAGCCTAAGAAAAATAATTGGCTTCTAGCTTGTCCAGCATTTTATTATGAGCCTAAGAGTGATGACTTCTAAGCTCATTATATGTCTTAGTTGAAACTGGAATTTCCTTTAATCCTGAGATTTGAAAGAAAAACTTCAGAATTATTTTTAGATAAATTTTAAACCCCAAATGACAAAGTACTCCTATAAGGAAGGGGAGAGCTTTCCTTTGGAATTACAATGATTTTACAGACATTCTTAAAATAAGAGAACAAGTGAGATTTTAATTTTTTCCTAAAGGGTATATATAGATATCTGATTATATTTGTTCTTTTGTTTTCTTCTAACAAAGGTTAAGGAAAAAAGGTAAGGAGAAGTGATAAAAATCATATAAAATAGCCCATCCTCTATAGAAAAGGAGTAATTTGGGAAGAGAAATAGCAGGAATTAAGAAGCAGAAAGAGAATCTACACGTGGCAGAGAGCTGCTAGAGCTCAGCTCCAGGGTTATATCCCAGAGATTTACTTCACCTTCCCTGTTGTGTCAGGAAAGGTTCTGAGACTCCTTCTACCTACAATAGTCTTGTTTCCGTAATTGGTTACCTGTGCCTGGTCACTTGTTCTTGCAGCAGTTATCCCCTATAAAGTCTCAAGGATGTGTTCCTTGCTTCAGGGTCAGAAGCTCAGAATGGAGAGCTCCCCTGGGGAGATGTGTGGGGACTGGAGCAGCCATGTAACCCCTGGGGGCTGGAGAGAGAGGAGACATGAGTGAGGATGGAGCTATGCCAGGGCTGCCATGTGATGCTGACAGTAGGATCATTTGGTGGTTTTCCTTGTCCCGGAGCGGTAGGATTAGCATCTTGGATGGAAAAACAGGAAGCTGCCTTCTGAAAGAGTATAGGCATTGTCATGGTTTAGACATGGTGTCCCCCCAAAGCTCACATGTGAGACAATGCAAGAAGGTTTGGAGGAGTAATGATGGATTAGAGCCTTAACCTAATCAGTGAACTGATCTCTGATTGGATTAGCTAGGTGGTGACTGGAGACAGGTTGGGGGTGTGGTTGGAGGAAGTAGTTCATTGGGAGTGTGGCTATAGGATATATATTTTGTATCTGGAAAGTGAAGTCAGTCTCAGTATCTCTCTTCTCCCTCTCTCCTTCCCTCCCTCCCTCCCTCCCTCCCTTCCTCCCTCCCTCTCTCTCCTCCCTCCCTCACTCTCCCTCCCTCTCCCTCTCTCCCTCTCTCTGTCCCTTTCCCCACTCTCTCTGTCCCTCTCTCTGTCCCTTTCGACCCCCCCCCCACGCACCCCATCCTGCTTCTTTTTTTATCACCATGTGAGCTGCTTCCCTCCGCCACACTATTCTGCCACCTTCAGTCTGA